CTGGGTCAGACCAAAGGTCCATCTAGCCCAGTAGCCTGTCTGCCGACAGTGGCCAGCACCAGGTGCCCCAGAGATGGTGGACCGAAGACAATGATCAAGAGATTTGTCTCCTGCCATCCTTCTCCAGCCTCTGACAAACAGAGGCCAGGGACATTATTTCTATTCCCTGGCTAATAGCCTTTTATGGACCTAACCTCCATAAAATTATCTAGCTTCTCTTTAAACTCTGTTTAATCACAATCAAGTTTCAAATGAGGATACAGTACAGAAATAGGTCTCAAACTGAGTGTTCATATTGTTAGAATTCCCAGCAGTCTTCCATGCATTGATAAATGACCACTACTAAGGTCACTAAGAATTTACTTGTATAAGAAGCGAGTACAATCTGAGAAAGGCCAAATCCTGTGGTCCTAATATATTATCGTTAATCTCAAGCACTGACAAATTATGGATTGTCTGCTAAAATCACAAGAAGCTTACTGTAAAATTCTCAAAATATTCTGTTCTGAAGGCCATCGGTGCAGACAATTTAGGATCCACAAGTAACAACTTGAGAACAATCATAATAAAATAGTTCTCAAAGGGAAGTAATGTACAGCCCTTTTTCATGAGATATTTAAAATTAGTTTAAACCATATGTTGATCTCGACCAAATTAGAAATAGGTAACAATATTGCATAAAAGAGAGGATGCAACATACAGTTTTACAGGCCTTTCCCACTTCTAACACCTATGTGACAAAGTAAACTTGTGTATAATTATGCTGACCATATGCCTCAGAAAATCTGGGACAGTCTCAAATTTCAATCTCCTGTCCCAGTGCCCTATTAACACTGAAAATATCCTGGAAACAGCAGTGCAGCTAGAAGCAGCTGTGCGCTGCTGTTTCCCCTTCCCTTTTCCCTGCCCCAGGAAAACAGGGACCTTCTAAGAGATTTTTCCTGCATCTCTGGAACCAGCCAATAGGAGCAATGGGAGGCAGTACCTGACCCTGAGGTGGATCTCATCTTGAATTGAGGTTGGACACCTAGTGCTGTCCTGAGACCCTAGGTCTGGGGCCAGGGTTAATGCAATTGCAGTATAGTTGCATGGAGGCTCCTATAGTTCCCAAACCCATCCTTATTGATAGAGGACAGCGGGAGGTGTTTTTAGAGGGGTCAAATGGCACCCTTTACTTTCAGTCATGTTTATATCTTGACCCCAGAAGTACTACCTCCAGGGGAGGGACTTCCTGTGGCAGATGGGTGGGGCCTAACAGATCGGGGGATGGCTAGTGGTGTCAGGGGGCATGGCTAATGTATCCCTCTTTTTGGTTCAGAAAATATGGTCACTGTATGTGTAATATAAAAAAAAGTTTCTAAAGAGATAGTCCTTCTGAAAAATATCACAACTATTACACTGCCAAGGTCAATGAGAGCAATGGAGTTTTGTGCATGCATGTCTCAGGTGAGTAGCTACAATGCTAAGAATCTCCAGGATTCAGTGGCTATGTCTACACTCGCGGCTTCTTGTGCAAGAACATCTTGCACAAGGATTCTTGTGCAAGAAGTCTTGCACAAGAAAATGTCCACACTGCCATGTGCAAGCTGCGCTTTTGCGCAAGAGCACCCATGGCAGTGTGGACGCTCTCTTGCTCAAGAAAGCTCTGGTGGCCATTTTAGCCATAGGTCTTTCTTGCCCAAGAAATCCTTGCAGAGCGTCCACACTGCCTGCTTGAGCAAGAGCTCCTACGCAAGAGGGCTTACACCTGTTAAAAAAGAGCGTAGCTCTTGTGCAAGAAGACCTCTCTTATCACGCCGTACTGTAAATTTCCTTGCGCAAGAGCGGGCGGGCAGTGTGGATGCTCTGCAGATTCTTGCGCAAGAACGGCCATACTTATGCAAGAAGCCATGAGTGTAGACATAGCCAGTCTTTTGTAAGTCAGACATGTAAATTGTTCTGCCATGAGATGTAGGTGCTGCAGGAACTCTCTCAATACAGCTCCTAGCACAAAGAGCCCATGGTCTCAAAGATTTGCATGGCTAACAGATATTAGATAATAAAGATGTCTTTCAGCTAGCAGATGTAATGAGTCAAAGGCTGGAAGCTGAAGTTAGACAAATTTGACCTCAAAATATGGTGCAAAATGTTAACAAGTGTAATTATGGTGAATTGTTTATCACTGCAATTTTTAAAACCCAGATTAGATGTTTCTCTAAAAGAGATGCTGAAGTTTAAACAGGAATAAATGAAGGAAAGTTTTATGACCTGTGTTACACAGAAGATCAGACTTGATGATTACAATGATGCTTTCTGGCCTTATAATCTATGGCTCTATTTAAATAACACATTGCAGATCTGCAAAGGGTGTGACTACTTTATCCTCTAGCAATGATTACAGAAACTTGCTTTTAAAGTGCTCTTTTGCCATCTCAAATTGGCTATAGATTCCTTTTTATTAAAAAAACCCAAATACCTAATATGTATACAGGCAGTCCCCGGGTTACATGGATCTGACTTATATCGGATCCCTACTTACAAACGGGGTGAGGCAACCCCGCATTAGCTGCTTCCCCCCAGCAGACTAGGGAGACGCAGAGCGGCTTTTCTCAGCAGACACCTCAGCTTGAGAATAAAGGACTGAGGGAAGTGAGGTGTGGGAGAATAAAACTGAGTTCTGGAGAAATGTTTGGCTAGAGTTTCCCCTACAATATGTACCAGTTCCAACTTACATACAAATTCAACTTAAGAACAAACCTACAGTCCCTATCTTGTACGTAACCCGGGGACCGCCTGTATTAGCACTACACTGTCTTGGAAGTATCTTGCCCTGAAACTACCTAAGAGGTAGAGCAAAACTGAAACTGGATAAATAAAATGACTATCTGCTTCCTTTATAAAAGGAATACAGACTACAGAGATGTGAGTGATTGCTAGGGTTTGATATTAGGCTAAATCAAACAAGACATGCATGGAAAATTAAGAACGTCATATTTTTCTGTTAGTGTTTTCTTTGTCTTCATAAATTCCCAGTTTCAGTTAATACCCCTCTAAATCCTTCTCTTCTTAGTAGCCCCATTCTTAGTCTTACCCATACTACAGGATGAAACCAAGAAACAACCCTTTCCTCCTTTTATTTATGCCAAGATAATTGTAATGGGGCAATTGTGTCTTAATTGACCTCAGCAGATTCTCTGATCTCAGGACAAATCTCTCTGCTTTGATTTGTCCTAATTCCTATCAGCTGAGATAACAAGTATGGGGAAGGGAAACTTTTCCTTCATAACTTCCCTAGCAAGCCTGCACAGACACCTACCTAATTATGACACACAACAAAAACAAAACAACAACAACAAAAACACCCCATAGCTGTTATTCCAGTCATGGATCCAGTTTTTTTCTTCAGATAGAATCTGGGGTTCTTTGATGTGTGCTTTAGATTAAAACAGCAGTCAGTCTTATAAAACTGCCAGACCTGTTGACACTTAGGCATGATAGATTTCAGGCAGTATATCAATGAAGATAGCAGATTAGGACTTGATACCAGCTGTGGTAAAGGACAAATTAGCAGAAAGGGGCATGGATAAGTTAAGAAATATTTCCCATGAAGTACTGAAGGAAAGAGTTGGAAAGGATGGGAAGAGGAGACATCCTAAAATGGTAGTGTCATAGATTTTAAAGCCAAAAAGGATCATAGCTGAGATCCACAAGGACTTAGACACCTGTACCCCAGATTTAGGCATCACTGTAATTCACAAAACTCCATGTAGCTGTCATCTAAACCTGTAGAAGCCTAAACTTACTTGGTGCTTAACATTCTGTGGTGTAAGTTCCCTCAGGGCATAAGTTTTTGCCTCTAAGTGAGCACACAGTTCTTGACTTCTGATACCTATCTCATGCATTAATCCCTAGTATACTCATACCCTAGGGGAGAGTTAGATGTTCCCCATGCTTACCTCATCTGTGGATCTCAGTCTTGTGATGACCATCAGAGCATTAGTTATTGCAGTAAGGAGATAGACCTGGGGTTTCCCACCTCCCACGTGAGTGACCGAATCACTGGATTTTAGAATCATCCTCATTCTCTCTTCTGGCCAAATGACACTTGAAATACAGGCAGTCCCCGGGTTACGTACAAGATAGGGACTGTAGGTTTGTTCTTAAGTTGAATTTGTATGTAAGTCGGAACTGGTACATATTGTAGGGGAAACTCTAGCCAAACATTTCTCCAGAGCTCAGTTTTATTCTCCCACACCTCACTTCCATACAGACAGTCCCCGGGTTATGTACAAGATAGGGACTGTAGGTTTGTTCTTAAGTTGAATTTGTATGTAAGTCGGAACTGGTACATATTGTAGGGGAAACTCTAGCCAAACATTTTTTTTTAGTTTTGGATAGCATAGGGAAAGGTTAACTCCCCTCTAATGTTTGTTTTGCTGTCTGTTCCCCTGTTCAGAAGATTTCACATCTATTTCTGTCCCTGTGACAAACTCAGGACTAAAGGAGTAACTCATCAAATACCAAACAGCTCTGCACCATGCTTTGAGCTAATAGCTTTATTTCCACACACCACCCAGGGTTCTAGGAGGAGGGTCCTTTTTTTGCTAACACAATGAGGCCAGCACTTTGTTTGTTTTGGTGGAGTCTTTGTTTGCCCAGGGAGCCCAGCATGTATAGGGGGAGGAGGGGCGGAGAGGCTGCTTTTGTCTGCTGTTCCGCAGCCTGTTGCTCAGGGGAGGGGGCAGCCTGTTGCTGGCACGGGGGGGGGGGGAGGCAGCGGGCGTGGGGAGGCACTTTTCCTCTGCCCGGCAGCTCTGCGGGACCCCAGTCGGAGCCGGCCCGAGGAGGAGGAGGATCCTAGGACCCAGGTGAGTGAGCCCCGGGAATGCTGCTGCGCATGTGCGGGAGTTGCCTCACCCCGTTCGTATCTAGGGATCCACGTAAGTCGGGGACTGCCTGTAGTTATTTAAAATGGAACAGCTTCAAAAGGAGACACAGAAAAAACTATACAATAGCTCAGTGGGAGACCCTGTTCAAATCCTTTCATCAGGCAGCTGGAGGAATTGAACCTGGATGAGTGCCTTAACCAGGAAAATGAAATTTATAAGGGAGAAAATATATTTTCCAGTGTTTCTTACAAAAATAACTTAGTTGCCTGACTCCAGAAGCAGGATTCTCAGCTGTGGGTTATGTACTTGCAACCTGGAGCTTAACTCAGTGGGAGGGATGGGGGCTAGGACATACCTCTCTTGTCAGTATCTCCCATTAGCTACTTTGGTGGCTCTACATCTAGTATGTTGGCTTTTGTGGATCTCATTCTTAAGTGCCAATCTCTCTCATTGCATAGGGAGCTTAAGCACCTAATTCAGGATTTGTGGATTCTAGTAATTTTCTAGGCACCTTAGTCCCTTTGTGGATCTAATCCCACTAAATCATCTAGTCTGACAACTTATATAACACCAGCCATATAATTTAATCTATTTACTCCTGTCTAGAGTATAATAGCCTGTGTTTAATTACAGAATATCTTACAGAAAGGCATCGAGATGGAAGCATTTCAAGGAATGGAGACGCCACTATTTCTTGTGGTAGTTTGTTCCAATTGTTAATTATCTTCTTTGTAACATTTTTTGTCTTATTTATAATTTGAAACTCACATTGTTTTCAATAGGATCTGGATTTCAACCCCCCATTTTGTTGGAAAAAGAGAGAAAGCAAGTACATAAATAAGTCTTGGATAATACAAGAAAGAGAGCCCCTGAAATGTCAGTATTTGAGTAGAGTTGTGAAGTTGTTTGAATAGGACATAATTTTTGATTGTCTATCGCTAAGTCAGAGGTCAATGACAAAATGACAAACTGCTCAAAGATTTTTGGTGCCTCAGTTTTAAGGTGACCAATTTAAGATACCATGTGTATGATTCTTACTATTGATTTGACTTGTGGTACTCAACACTTTTGAAAAGTAGGTTCCTCAGTCTGAACATCCAAAAAGAGAACACAACAAATTAGTGGTCCCTTCTGAACATCTGGCTACAAAGGTGTATTGTCAGTTTGGTGTGAGCCAGCTCTTAAAAATGACAAATAATACCATGCACCCAGTGAGTTGGTGAATTCCCATCATAGCTTGCATATTTCTAATTCCAACTACATATACATTCAAATAAACACAAAATGAAGAGCTTTAAAAGAATTTAACTTTTTTGTTTATAAACATTAACACTTTTTAATTATCCATGTTTTAGTAGTTAATAGGACTTAACAAAAACAACTGGTTTTTCATAACATTAATTAAAGGAGAATTAAGGTCAACTCTATTTTATATAACTGTCTCTACCGAGAAAAAACATCCTTCTTCATTAATCAAAAACATCCAGACCTGCTTTTCCTCTGCTAATACAGGTATATATGAAGTGCCTAACATTTGTAACCAATCATTGCCTCCTCTAATGGATATTTGGAGCCTTTATTGATTTGGGTAAATTTGCTTCTGCTAAGGTCAATAATGATAAATGACTTGTTCTGCATGAAGTGACTTAGTACTTTGAAATTAAATGATTGTAATTATCTGTAGTTATTCTGTAACTGCAACTGTTACTGCTGCTGACAAAATGCCCATGTAATTGTGATAGGGACATTTTTTTCTTTGAAAATTCTTGAATTAATTTAGAATGTCTAAAAGGGAAAAGCAACGATCTGGCCATACATTGTGATTACAAAGTTCTGCATTAAACTTTGACAGTTGTCTTCCATTTTTGACCTGCAACACCAGCACCTAGCTTCCACTCAGCAAAGACCACCAAACTTGCTAAAGTATCCCTGTAATAATTGTATAATGTAGACAAAGGAGTTCTAGTTCTATGAGACCTAAGTCATGGTATGCTTTTAGTTTTCCAAATATAAAACTTCACCAGCCCACTGTGCTTTTAAAATTATGTGATTAAGACTTTATGTTGATTTACATTGTGGATAAGCCTGTAGTGGATTTCCAACACTGGACTGCTATGTGTTCATGGGCCACCCATAAGCAACAAGTAAATACCTGTTTCCCATAGCTGTAGCTACTCTTTCATCTACAATAGTATCTGATAGTGAATAATCTTTGACTGAAACACTGTACACTTAGAATTCAACTGAGATATTATACGTATCAGACATAAATGAGTGTTAGAAAAACTAGTGTTGTGGTGAGACATTTAAGGTATCCATTACTGCTGCACAAATATTCCAAAGTGGGACATTCATGTCACTTCAGATGGCATTTGTTATAAAGAGTGCTGCTACTACTAACAGTGAACAAGTCTAATTCATTAGCATCATATGGCTTCAATTTCAATTGATTCCATTTACAGTAGGTTGGGCAAGGAAAGGAATTAGTTGATAAACCTTTATCCTTCAGTCCCTTTATATGTTTCTAACTGATTTAAGATTATCTCTGCAGCTCTGAATCTGATGGAAGCTGTTATTAATTCTATGAGGATTTATTTGATATTATATTTTGAGAGTTGTAAAGGGACAGAAAATATTTTACATTCAGCCAGGATCAAATGGCACAAATCTAGCAGTTTTGTTTTCAAGGAATTCATACAAGATCTGTTCAGTTCTTCTGAATTAACATCCCGACTTTCATTATGTTTTCTGAATTTGAATGTGCAACTCAGCTAAAACCAGGTTTTGCCACCTTATTTAGAATGGCTTCCGCTCTTATTTTGCGATGTTTCCACTAAAATCATAAATACCTCAAAACTCAGTTCAAATTGACTTGATACACAACCCAGAATACCACAACTTTTTTTTTCAGAGCTTTCAAAAATCCTGGACTAAAGTTCGATTTTGTAACAAGTAGTGTAGAAGACTTCCATGTGCATTGGGCTTTCCTTTTCAATGTTTAATATAGCGTGAATAACTGAAATTGCAAAAAAGAAAATGGAGTACAGTAGACCCCATTGCTTGGGGCCCTGCTTTCATGGAAAGCAACAAAGAATGTAACTGGACTAAGGTCTTTGCTACTGATGTAGTCATGTGCATCTATGTAAAGGGCATGTAGATTAGATATGGAATAATATCCAATCAGAATGATAGCTCTTTAAACCTTGTCTACATTACTATTTTCACAGTTGTAAAGGCAAGGCAGTACAGAATCAAGCATATACTTACCAGTGTATCCTTTACTATATTTGTTGGTTAGCTGGGCTGAGGAAGGCAGTAATGAGCCTTTTCTCCTTCATCTTACATTGAAGAAACTATTAGAAGAGCAAGAACTGCTGTAAATCCAAGAACTAAAGAGCTTAAAGCAGGTGTCGTTATGTTGGTATCTAATTCAAGTTAAACCTCTTTTCCCAAGAGTCCTGAGTAATCGACTAAGGAGAAAAAAACAGACTTTAAAAAAGAATCAGATAAATCATGAAGAAAAGGTCCATCAATGAGTGTTAGGTAACTATGGTTGGAGACATCCTCTGGGTGTCCCTAAATCTCTGACTGCTAAAATTTGAGCCTGGATGACAGGATGGCTTACTCAATAAATTGCCCTGTTCTATTCACTCCCTCTAAAGCAACTGCTTCAGTCACTGTTGGAAGACAGGATATGAAGCTAGATTGGTTTGACCTTGCATGGCCATTCTTATATTCCTGTATCATCTAAAAACCAAAGGTTGTCACAAAAAAACACTTCCTTTTAATAGAGGAGTAGCAGAAAAGTTGGTGGATTTTGGCTTATATACATTATTGCTTGTTCCTGATGTATAAAGAGGCATTGTGAGTACATTTCTTCCCTTTAAAAATGTTTCTATTTGTTCTTTACTTTATTGTCAATAGGAGTGTTGTCTTGTCTGTTTCACCAAGGAGAAAGACACACACGTGGATGAAATCCTGGGTCCCCGGAATTTAACTGCAAAACTCCCACTGAATTCCACAGATCCAGAATTTCACCATAGTTCACACCACAAAAGGCTTAAAATAAGGCAATAGGTAAGTGGGGGAGAAAATCCAGTAGGAAGGGATTGGGAAGAAAAGATAAGGCTTCTAGCAATAGGATCACATGATTCCTCAATTTGAACACACATACACTCTGATTGGTTAAAGAAGTATAAAAGTTAAGAAGACAATTATTTGTGTACCAGACAAAATGCACAACTGTTAGTTTGCCACTGATGAACCTCATAGCTCATGTGTTTACAAAATGCTTGATTCAGCCTTAAATGAAGTAGGAGTTTTTCCATTGACTTCAAAGGCCATTGAATCAAGCACAAAGGACCATTTAAAGACAAAAAGTATGGATGGTGTAGTTTAATATTGTGTGGTGTGTGTGTGTATTATTTTCCCTTTCCATGGCCAGCCCTACATCTTGTTTATGTATATAGTCTGTCATAATCATAATTGTTGTACTAATTAACTTTCTGAACTCTCAATATAACAAAATACTATAACACTTTCACAATCAAAAAGCATATTAGGTTGGATCTGTGAATATGTTGGACTTTACCCTCCATGTCAAAGAACAGGCTGATGCTGATCAGAAGACTACAACAGTTTGATGTGATTTTCTTTTAAAGAAACAGTACATGGCTAAATTGCAGTAGACAATCCTTGAAACCAATACTGTGGCTTTCTTGTTTGCATCTATTGAGGGTCAGGGAATTAGAAAGCACTGTAGTACATAACATACATATATGTTATGATTTTTCAATTTAAATATAAATCATATACTATAGTATCACATAGATGGATAGGACACATGCTTTTCATATCCAGACAAAGAAAACGAAATACATTTGCCAGTATCAACTCACCCCAATAGACAGTAATCCGCATCACAAGGAACTCTTAATTGAGCCCATTTGGAAGTCTCTTCTCAGCAGGGGCCTTGTAATGAAATAACATGTAAAAACATACCTTTCATCCATAGAGATGGTGTTCCCCCACGTCAAGGTGGAGGTCATTCGAAGGACAACATTGAAGAGCTTGTGTACCAGGGATAAAATGGATATAATTCATTTTACAGGCTATTTTCTGCTTGTACTCTCTATGCCATGTTTGTGATGTCTCCATGCAAATAAAAAAAAAATTAATTAATTAATTTAATTAATTAATTAATACAAAATCAGTAGATAATAAGGAAAAACTCTTTAACATGAAAACAGGATATTACTACTGGAAATGAAATGTCACATGAAAATGACTCAATTTTTCATATTAGTTCCTTGTAACACTATAGATTTATATTATACCCAAAGAATGTCTTCATGACTTTTTATAAATTACTACATAATGTCTTTTCACATTAACGAAGGAGAATTATTGTAGACTATGCCTTAAGCCTTGTGATAGAGTTTGCATATGGTGCACTAGGTAGGAAAGGGTTAATATTAACTATGGGTGGTGGAAATCATGGAATCTACTGGGCATGCTCCAAATGCTACACTAGTTTAAAAGGGGAAAATCTCACTCATTCTAGGTTGACTATTGGGGAAGAAGGGGACTTGGGCGTAAGATCCAGTCCCTGATTGCAGGAACCAGAGTGCCTGGGGCATGGGCCAGACACCAGATGTCCCCAGCTTGTCGACAAGAGTCAGAGTCCTACCAGCTGACTGCACCAAGGAACTCAGACCCTATTTTCAGATATATCTCAACAATGAGACTCATTTTAGGAAGTGGCCTGAGAGGAATAATGACTGGTACCTTGAAACTGAAAACAACAGAGGTATGTTATTGCATGCACCACTGACAGGGCCCTTGACTGGGACCCAATGGAGAGGGAGGGTCCAGGTCCTCTTATCATCCCTGCTGCCACTTATCCTTGGGAAGCATTTGACGTCCTTGTCTCTGGCTATTAGGCCCCACAATCTGGACCCCAAAGGCAGTGATAAGGACTTGGGCTACTATCAATAGACAGCGACCATGATGTCAATTCCCACATCATCTATTGCAATGGGATAGAATATGCATACACAGCCAAACATGGTGGAGCATGTGGGCAACAACTGGGCTCTGCTGAAAGACCCCTGAAGTAAAAGAGCACTAGAACAGTAACCCTTCTTCACCTGCTGAATCATCCCCTTTCCTGAGATGGAGACAAAAGATATTAAAATGAATGTTGAGGAACCAACAGCAGAAGGCTGCTTAACTTCAACAATACTAAGCACAGATGACTCAACAAATCAGGACTCGGTAGCAACAACTGATAAGGGATTTGGTTACACAGCATCAAACCCAGCAACAATGTCTGATTCAATAGCTGGCCATGCTAAGGCACTCTCCATGGATGCCGGTTGAGGGGCAGGTCCGCTTGATGGTCCAGAAGTCCCCAAAGTTTGGGTCAGTGCTCCCTTTTCTCAGGGCAAACACAGCCTGTAGACTCAGTTCTTAGCAAATGTCCCTCTATCAAAGTATATATGGCCCAGAGGTCTTGTGCAAAACACAGTTCCCTCTATCAGGGTATATACAGCCAGGAGGCCTAGTTCCAGGATAAGCCTCCCAACTGCTAGAGAGCAGGCCTGTTGTGGGGTGGAGAGGTAGGGGGAACTGGGCCTTCCTGCTCCACCGGGTCCCAGCCCAGGGCCCTGTTGGCAGTGGAGGATTCCTACTGAAACACACTGAGCTCCCGGAGGACAATCCTCTGCTGTGGGCTACTTCCTATTGTTCCTGGTGCACTGCTCCACTCTTGGGTGTTGCTTGGCGGGTTGGAACCTCCCAGACAACCTCCCTGGCTGGGGCTGACACTGGGGCAGAAGCTGTTGCTGCTGCCGGGGCTGCTGCTCCTGGGGCGGTTGCTGCAGCTACTCAGGAGCTTGGGCCTGAGCTCCTTCCCCTCCAGCAGTCATCCACAACTGAATGGCACCCAGGGCTTTTATACCCTGTTTCCCCATGCAGCATACCCAGCAGGGCTGTGGGGGTGGGGCCTTCTCAGCCAGCTGGGTCAGGGCAACTCACTGTTCTTAGTGCTGCATAGATACACCCCATCACAATGCCAAACCCCAGCCCTGGGACAGGACCTAGGGTCTCTTCCTGATGGCCTCCTGTTGCAGGAACTGAAGCCAGTGGTGATCCCGAGGTGTTCCTGGTAACATTTAAAAGGGTGGCCACTTGCACTGGTTGGCCCTTATTTGACCGGGCAGCACAGACAGCTTATCACAGGTTAGTCTCACAGGATGTCCTGGTATTTGACAAGATGAAGACTTCTATTCTGGACCAGACAGGGATCTACTTTAAGACTTACCTCCACTTTTGCCAGGACAGATATCCCCCAGGAACCCAGCCTAGAGTGGTGGCAAAATACCTGAGGGGTGAAGCCAGAGGAATGATCCAAGTGGTGGAGGTTGTGGTCATAGAGCAGTTCATCCAGATCATCACGGTCAGTGGGAGAGAATGGGTGCAGCGCTACTGACTGGCGATGCTGGCAGAAGCTATAAGATAAGTGAAGAACTACCTGGCAGCAAATGGGGCTGAAACATGACCCCAGATATCTGGGAGCCCCAGAAGGAGGGGACAGGATTTCAGGGATGCAAGGGAACCTAAGCATCTACCCTGACCACCATCTCCCCTCCCCACAAGTCCTGTTGGTCAAACCCAAGATAGAAGTCTGAACCTGAATAACGGCCTTGCATTATTGCTGCCCAGGATTTCCAGATAGTTATGAAAGAAAAACTTCACATTCCAAAAGTCAATCTGAAAACTTCCATGAACCCTGATTTTCAGATATGTGTTTAAAAGCTCAACATTTTGTCAGTGGAATTGTGCTTTCTGTTGAGGTGACTGTGACGGGGTATGGTTAGAGGGTGCTTCTTGGAGTGGAGGGGGCGGTCCGTCACAGTGACCAACCAGCATCACTATAGTTGAGTCCATTTTCTGTGGAAATTGAAAAAGCTTGAGTAAGCCTTTATTTCATTATATCATGATTTAACATCATATATAATGGGGATTATGTTAGCAACCATGAAGAAGCAAAATGGACATGAACCCAAGTTTTAGCTAATACAAAGGGACTTGCTGTTGCTCCTCTAGGTTGGTCAGGGAAATGGCCTATGTCTTTCTCTGAATAGGGAAAAGTATATTCAGCCAGTATTGTTTTCACTCTATCATATAGTTAGACTTCTTTAACATACTTCCACTCTCTGTATAATGATTACGTTTTCACCATACTACACATAATTTACTTCTAAAATTAAAGAATATTTATATCAACACCACTTTATAAAAGTGCCACACTATGGTTAATTGTATCAGTATTTGAACTTTAATTAAATATGTGACAATTTATGTTAATGAGGAAGTAATCTTGTAATTTGATAGGAATTTAAAATAAACTAATACCAATATATTTCAAAGAGCTACTTATACAAAGATTCTCTGTTACCCCTCAAACTGATTCCCAGACTTAAATGACCACCATGTGAGTTCCATCATTAGTAAGTCATCACAAGAAAAGTTACAGGCATTGCACAGTCTGAAATGTAAGGTCACAGAGCA